GGACCAAATCCAGTCCAGTTGACACCCCTACCTGCCTTAGATATTCTCAAGGTTATAGACGTTTTGATCCTCACTCAAGTAAGAAGTATGTATTCAAGGATGTTACCTTTCTTGAGTCTATTTCTTTCTTCTAGTTATCACATCCTTCTCTTCAAGAGAGTTCAATGAACATCTGGCTCCTTTACACCCTTTGCACCCTATTTGACCTTTCTAAATTTTTTGTAATTTTTGAATTTTTAAAAGATAAAAGTAATCAAAAGATGTTGGTAATTCAATTACCATTATTGCAAGAGCCTTTAGGAATTCAGATGTCATTCATTGAAATGTTTATTGATTATGTGTTCATTTAACTTTGTATTAATTCAATGTTTTATTAGAAAATTCATTGGGCATAAAAACTAAATACAAGTATTAATCCAATATTAGATGTCTAATAATATTAAAAAAAAATCAATCAATTAATTTGGGTACCTCATTCCTAACCAAAATATTTAATTTTATTATTAATTCTCTCCAAACTTAATTTTCTGATTTCTAATATCACATACACTAAAATTAATTGATCCAAAAAAAAATGATTAGCATAGTGTTGATGTATATTATCTATTAAAAGAAAAGTATTGGGTCCACATTAGTAATTCAATCATCTTGGCTCTTGGTGGGTCAACAACTCAACCATTTAAAGCCATCACATCATAAATCATATAATAAAAACATAAAAATGGATAAACATTTAAAAAATTTATAGAGAAATTGGCATGTATCTAGGAGTATAATTTGGTTATAGTCGGATCATATACAACCCAATGTTTATGTTTAACAACTCTAACTAAAAATTCAAAAGAATAATATTCAAAAATAGTATTTTATAAACTAATAGAATAAATAATTTATCAAAACCACATTTATATAAAAAATATTATTTTTAATATCAATAAATTTATAAAAATAAAATATTAATAATAGAATAATTATTTTAGTAGTTAAAATTTATAAATTTGCACACGATATGCATCTTAAAATTTTTACATATTTTTACAAAATATTAATTAATATTTTAATCTACATTAAAAAGTAATAAAAATATTGCTTACAAAATATTGAATATAATATTAAATTGAATCCATCAAATCCACTAATCTACTTTTATCTCAAAAAATATTTTTTTATTTCATAAAATTTATAAAAGTAAAAATATTAATAATAGAATAATTATTCTAGTAATTAAAAATTATGAATTTATTAATTGATATTTTAATTTATATTTTAGAATTTAATATTTAGTTGACCTTTTTAATATTAAAAAATTAAAATAGTAAAATAAAAAATAATTGATATAATAATTAAAATATAATAGGTGCATATGTTTAGTGTCTTGGACTCTTGATTGATGAATTACAAACAAAATTATATAATATCTACGCATCCCAATATATTAATTGTAATATGTTTCTTCATATATGCTATTAAAATATGCATCTTTTATGTATTTATATATTATTTATGATTATTTTGATCTTAAATTTAGTGTTATTAATATATTTATAGAATTTGTATGTATTTCCCTAACGTATCTCTGCATTTCCAAAACATATCCATATTCATATTTGTATTTTAACCACATCCAAATCTAATCCAATTATTAAAACTTCAAATCCAAATCTAGTCCGAAATCTTAAATATTAGACTTGGATCAGTTTTGGATTTAATCTGAATCAACTTTATTGTATTTAATATATATATATAATAAATTTATACAAAATATTGAATTTATTGATTATAAACTTTATGTAATTATATATGATATCTATATACATACATAATTATATTACCTACAAAAATTTATATAGGAATTCATTTTAACCATGTTTACATCATTACATATTCATCAGAGTAAGGGTTCAACTATAATATTGAAAAGTTATGATACTAGAAAAACTTATAACCAATCAGTACCATAAAAATGGTAACCAATCCAGTGGTATTTATGAAAACTCACAAGCAGGGTTGATTGGTTGTAGCCCTTCCGTTATCATGTATTTCCATCAACATACGTTTTTCCTAACATAAAAATAACTAAGGGGATGTTTGGAACCGTGGCTATTTTTCAAAAAAACGATGACACGTTGGATCCACATAGGCGTTTCAACAAACGCCCATGTATCTCATTGTTTGGTTTAGCCAGTTATTAAAAAATTGGGCATGCCTCGAAAATCAGGAAATTTGGCATTTCATGCATTGGTGAACCGTTTCCCCCAACGGTTGACTGATGTGTATCCTATGTGGTGCTTACCTGTCAGCACATATATGAAAAACGGTAATAAAAATCACCTTACCAAACAGAATAGTGTTGCTCACTGCCTATGTGGCAGAAGCGTCTTTTTGTAAAAAAAAAAAAAAAAACAGGTCTTGGAAGCATGGGCGTTTTTTCTTGAAAATCGGTCTCAAAAAACGCCCACGCTTCCAAACACCATGTAAATAAGTACATGCATGAGAATTTGTTATTAATGATGGAGTTGGCTAAAACAACAAAAATTATAAAAGAGAAAGGAGATTTAATGTGTAACTTATGACCCAATATTAACTAGGTTAAAAGGCATGATAAATCAACTAGTTAGATCGCTAAGTTATTGGCTGAGTTCATTTTATTTATTTTTTTTAGGTAACAAAAAATCAAAGCATCTATTACGTTGGGAGGCTTTTAAGAAGAGAATCATGTACAAAATCAGGTTCAGAAGACCAAGTGTAGATGCTCTCAACCGTGCTAAGCCATGTGCTACTTCGTTTAAGTCTATATTGGTGTGTAGGAAGGAGCACTGAGCAAAGGACGAGATTAAATTCCAGCAGTCCTTCAATAGAGAGGAGAGATGCCATAAATTTTAATAAGGCTCAGTTTGGGAGGAGTATAAATACAATTTGACTAAAAGAAGAATATAAATATAAATATATATAGTATAAATACATATGAAATAATATAAAATACACAGTTTTGCACTTACATATTTGTATTTGTACTCCTTCCAAATTGAGTCTAATGAAAGACAGTCATTCTCAATGTGAACGCAGGAGATATATAGTTTCCTAGCAAAATGGAGAGCGTGGAGAAGATGATTGGTTTCTGGCCTTCTGTCTCTTCAGGTGAGCTCAAGGTAATCGAACAGACCTTGCATAGACAAATTCTCCTCTATGATTTCTTATCATCATACCTGCACCAGTCTTATCCTTAAGGTTACATTTCGAATCAGTGTAAATCAAAAACTATGTAAACATTTACATCAGTTTGGATTTATCCGCATTTGGAAAGAGTGTGTAATAATAATTGACATAAAACTTCACTCGATTCAATTTTTCACGTATTTGGATGGAGTGGAATTTTATGTCGTAAATCAGTATAAAACCCTATCATATGTAAAATTTTACATTGATTATCATGTAAATACTATATCAATAAAATCAATGTAAAACTTTACACCGATTACATTACCTTTTTCAAAAATATAACAGTCACTAATGACAGTTCAATGTAAAACATCATCGATGTACTTTTACACCAAAAACGTTTTACACTAATTCTAAAACGCTGCCTAAACGAGGCCCCATGGATATTAATCTTTAGAGTCCCAACAGGAGGGGGCATTCATCTAGAAACACTGGCTTGGGATCGAGTGGAATTGGTGGTTTGCCCACTAGCTGAGGGTAAATTAGCCAGGATCTCAACAAATGTTCTAGGGGCTAATACCTCTCTATGCATGCTTACTATGTCAGGTGATGAGAAAAAGACATGGTTATTTGTGCTTGATGTCTTAGCCTTATTAATTTTAAATTTTGGAAGGGCTATAAAATATCAACTATGAACTCTTTTGAAATAAGTCAGTATTTTCTGTATGAACATAAAAGGCTCTAAAATGTGGTCGTAGGGCTCCTTTGTCAATTTCATTTAATAAAGTCCATACGTCATATGAGTCTCACATGAGTCTCAACCTGTACTTCGGCCATGTAACTGAGCCGCCCTACTTTTTTGTTACTGTATAAAGTTCGGAGTTTGAGCTTAATATATTACCTCAAAGCCTGATGTCTGTAAAATCATCTCTTGTTCGCTCCTCTTCATCGAAGCCATCCAAAATAAGCTTAGATTCATCATCTCCTGTCTGACAATACAGTAAATGGTAGTTTGGCGTATAGACAGACCACGTTTGACACAAAGGCTCTGTTTGTTTGTGATACAAACGTGTATTTATGTACCTCGGTTCATGTTTGTGAGGTTTATTTGAAACGTAAGAAAGTGATGATTATTAAAACAAAAATGTATGTTTTAATATTTTTGTATTCTGAAAAAAGAATATTATTGTACTTATTTTTTAGATACAATTTTGTGTTCTATTAATAATTAATTTTTTAACCAAAGTTAACATAAAATAGTTAGAGCATTTAATGATGAACCCATACTATTGCACTGATTTCAACCAAATAAGATGAATGCAAAAACATTTAAAATGTAAATCGTGTTTGCATTCATAAACCGAAAAATAGATAATATATAACGTACATATTTGCGTTTACATTACAACCAAAAAACGAAAAAAAAAAAATTCAAAAATTCCTTCTTCGTGCATTGCCACAACAAAATCGCCTCTGCGCTCTGCAAATCAGCAATATAGAAATAAGAAACCTAAACCAACAGCCCCAAATCCCAAAAGCCTTGCTGGACGATGGGTTTCCTTTCAATCAAACCCTTGCAGTGATTTCCCAAATAAAACTTTGACTCCTAAAATTAACCCAAAAATATAATGGCTACGAGATAATTCAGAGTTTATGTGATTAGGAGCAACCTTAAACTATAATTCATCCCATTGGATCAATTTTTTGTGTTTCGTATTTTCATTTTCACGTGGAGTTAGCGTGTCTGGAGAGCCAATGAAGACAGGATTTGAATCAGGCTGTGCTGTAACTCACTTAAACAAGCAAGAATCTCCAACTCTTTTAATATATTTTGATAAGAATGCTTGAATCAAACAAAGGATTTTATTTTACTGCAAAATATCTAGAGTGTACATCCAAAGGCTTCAACAAATTTAGATACAACTGAGCGGGCGGCATTAATATATCATTATATTGAACCATAAGCTGCAAAATATACACCTCTGGTTTGCATTTGGAATGTAAGTTCATCACTGATAATGGTATATAACATGATCACTATACTCATCTGACTGGGATCTCGATCACCCTCCATGTCTCTGACTATTTTCTGTTTCTTCTTTATTTGCACATCGAACTTTTGCATACTTGTATACAAAATTGCAAACGCCATATGTAAGCATATAAAAGATGGCTTCACTTCAACTTCAGATATTTAAAATGACATCTCGACAGCCTCATAGTCTGGTAACTTGTGGATGAAGCTTGAATCATCACTGGAGCGTCTCTTGACCACACTTGCTCTTTGCATTAAACGGACCAATGCTTGGACAACTTCAGACATAGGAGGCCGAAACTCTGGCTCAGGCTACAGAAACCATGAAAATCCATTAGATTAAGATTCAGAAAATCAATGTACAAGTGGTTAGCTGAAGAAATTTCAGACTTACAGAGGGGATGAGAGGAAAAGAAGAAAAAGAGAGCTTAAATTAAAGGAAGAGTCTTAAAAAGGAAATTTAAAGCTTAATCTATCAGAGAAAGAACATGTGTCATAAATCTCAAGGACACACTTCTTTGGGTATCATACACCATCTATTAATTGATCAAGGCTGTTTCACAACAGTCCTTTGTATTGACTTGTTTTCCTCAAAGTGGTGTGCTACTGCATGGGTCATCCCAGTTCTCTCTTGGATGGGCAGTAAAGATACCCAACTAATACTTCTGGCCACATGCTACAATACGCATACATAATGAACTCAATCATTGAAATATTAACTCACTAGGGGAACAAGACAACTCCTGAGTCGTAAACGGACACCTATTCTTCAGGATGATTATCACTTGCACATACATCTTCCATGATGTGCACCTAAGGGGTAAGCCTTAATCAGTTCTCCACTTTAGTACAACTAAAATGTCTGCACATAGCAGAAACATTTTTTTTTCTTTCCTTTAAAAAAACTTGGTAGAAATTGAAATCGCCTCAAGTCTCAGGTTAATAGGGATGAAGATGTTTATAGTAAAACCATTTGAGTGAGAACAGCATGTTCAATACATTGCATCTTTAGCAGAGAAATAGTCATACCTGAACACACAAGGCAATGATGTCTGCAAAGCGTGAAAGTGACTTTGCAGGGTACATGCCATTTAGTGCAGGATCAACCATTTTTGCCAAGGCATCAATATCGTGAAGTTGAGGAGTAGCCCATCTGACAAGAGACTGTTCTGATCTTACCCTCGAACTAAGCATGGCAAATACAGAATAGAGGGGTAGGGGATAAGCAGAGAAATCATCAGCAGCAGATTGAAGAAAACAAGAAGAGATTCCAGAACATACATGACCATACAATGATGTTGGATGGGATTTACCTGTCCAGTGGCTTCCGACCTGTCAACAGCTCTAACATCACCACTCCAAAGCTGTATACATCACTTTTTACGGTGTAAATTCCAGACAGTGCAAACTCAGGAGCACTATAACCAAATGAACCAACCATCTGGGTTGAAACCTGCCAAATACAATGATGAAATTTAAACTTCTGCAAACATTATTTTGTTATGTCAAACATAATCAGTGGACACAACCTTGAATGGGTTGATATTCAAGTGGGATGACCCTAAAAAACTGATAATTTAGGCATTCTCTTTTGTTTTTTGCAATTCTTTAGCAAGAGATGCGCCAATAGACTGTAGAGATGCCATAGGAGAATCGATCCATGTCATAAGGTCTGAATTTCAAGCTATAAGACAGATTCAGCAGTAACATAGAACAAGTATATATATTCACCCAATGATCATAGAAACATTCCACCAATCTCAATGATGTAACTCATTCTCATTACAGAATAGTATATTCTATTTCATCGGTATACCAAACAAAAAAGCTAAAATGTTGAAAGGGACTCATTGTTTGACCTAGAAATTTTCTATAGAAATAGTTAAAATCCACAATAGATCTTAGATGTTACTATAGGACAAATTCCAAGCATGATACGGGGAAAAAAAGAAAGAAAAAGGAATGGAAAACAAATAATAAGTGTCACACGTGAATCCATGGAGTTCAGAAATTGAATTTTTTGTCCATTAGAAGAGACGATGCAATATTGTTTTTCATCATCCCAGATTTAACTCAGACATAAGATCATTGTATCAACGTGGATCAAGAACACAGTGCATATCTGACCGTCATAGACAACAATTTCTAGAACCAGTTGTTTTACCTGCCGCTCAGTGTTTGGTGTCAGTGCAGCTAGTCCACAATCAGACAAGTGAGGGTTGAGCTCTTCATCAAGCAAAATGTTTGCTGACTTGAAGTTTCTATGTACAACTGAAGGCAAGCATACTTCATGCAAATACCTACAAGAGAAAAGGTTCAAATTTTAGAAATGGAACTTCCAACAACATAAACAGAGTCTTAGCAAATAATAAACATAAATAAAAAAAAAAAACTTACTCCAAGGCCCTAGCTGTTCCAAGTGCTATCTTAACACGTGCATTCCATGTTAGTCTTTTGCTGCCATCATCAGAAAAGTGCAACATATCATGTAGCGTCCCATTGCCAATGTACTCATAAACCAAAAGACGCTGCCCATGCTCTGTGCAGTAGCCCACCAATGAGGTAATGTTTTGGTGCCGTAGGCGTGACATGTTTGAGACAGCTTCCAAAAAATTATCTTCCTCCTGTAATGACAGTGCTGCACTGTCAATCTTCTTGACAGCCAGCACCTAGGTCACCAAAACATAATAATCAATAGGTTATTGCTTGAAAATAATAGGTACAAGCACTGTAAGAAAAAGAAAGGAGTTGAGTGTAAAATAAAACAATAAAGGACAAAAAATAAGATGGTATAAAGTAATTCAAAATCAAAAAGATTGCCATGGCAATATTAGATAACTAGATAGAAAAGTTTAAAACCAAAGGAATCTGAGGAATGCACTGGAATGGATCAACAGGGAAACAGAGCAATTGTTGCAGGTTATTTCAGTTCAGTGGACTTTCTGCAGGCTACTTATTGCTTTATTTATTTACTAGTAAACGTGTACATGCATTTGCACGTGGCAGTATCTCTAAGACAAAACTATTTATAATTCATTGGCAGTTTCTGAACAATTATAAGTGGGCAGTTTCTGAAGTGAGAGTAAAGGACATATATGCCCTCTTTATGCCTGCTGTATGATTAGACAAAGGGGGTAGAAAACGTCCAATGAAAATTCCAGAAAGAAGGGGCATTTTCTCTTTTATAGGTAGTATAGATTAGTGGTGGTAGTAGGTAAGCTGTGGCTAACCATTGATGACAAACTGGAGGAGAGCACTATCCAGTTGGGGTTCAACCTCAAAAATCAAGTTGGTAGAGCCCCTAATATAATGAGATCTCCAAAAGAAGCCAACTTGTCTGGATTGCATTTTATATCAACTAATTACCTAGCAACATATTGGTTTAAAAGAAACTGAACTTGCTTTACAATAAGATGGACCCCATGGTTTCAAATGTCGCAACATTTCACTAATGTCACCCGACATATGTCGATGTCGAGGCTCACCGAAATGTCGGCGTATCGCTAAAAATTACATTATTTCGGAAATGTCGACCAAATCGGTCCAAATAACCAAAAAAAAACAGTTTTTCCTATTATGTCGACAGGATGTCGACTAATGTACATTAATAATATATAATATATTAGTATATTATATTAATATAATACAGTATATTAATATAAATTATTCCATTAATAATTTCCATTTAATATTTCAAATAAAATATTTATACAAAAGAATTAACAAAAAATAAAAACAAAAGAATAAATTAATTACTTTATAATATAAAACATAAAATATTTTTCAAGTAATAAAATATTAACTAGCTAGTATTTTTAAAATATTTATTAAAATCAGAAAATGTTTATTAAATTTAATAATAAATCATATTCTAAGTTTAACATAAAAATCAGAACAAATTTATTAAATTTTAT